CCACGCGTTCTCTCTCTCTCTCTCTCTCTCTCTCTCTCTCTCTCTCTCTCTCACACACACACACACACACACACACACTCACACACATACACCCTGGGCTGAGCTCTTGCTGGCTGCAGCCGTGGGCCCCTGCTCACCGTGCCGCCGCCGCTGCCTGCGAAATGACGGCGGTTCCCCTCACTTCCAGGAATCCACGCTTCCTGGAAGGTGAGTGGCTGGGCTCACCCCTGCCTGCCACCGAGACGCAGACATGCACACACCACCCGCACCCCCTCGCCGTTTCCAAGGCGGCGGCCGCGCTCGCACCCCGGGGTCTCACCGGCCAGGGAAGGATAATGTAAGTTCAGGCAGAAGGCGGTCAGCGGCGGGGGGCGAGGGGGCGCCGGGGCGAGGGAGCCGATGCCGCCACAACTCCCGAGACGGAGGAGAGGCAGGGGATGGGGGCTGCGCGCGTGTGGCGGGGGAGGGGGCGTTCCTCCTCGCACCCGCCGAGGATGGGAGAGGGCGTTTGGTGTTGCTAAGCGAAGGCTGCGACTTGGACAGTGGGAGCTCGTGGTGACATCTTGATTAGGCCTTGGGGACAGCTGCGAGCCGTCCCGGGGAAATGCCGGGACAGAGACGGCCCGGGTGGGCATGGGTAGCGGAGGGTCGAGGTGAAGAGGCGCCTTGGCAGCAGACGCCTCCGCCTGGAACGGAGATGCGAGGGGCCTCGGCTGCCTCCCCACAATAGAGCCGGGGATGGGCGGCTCTCTCTGCTCCCGGACCCGCTGTTCGCTCCCGGACCCGAGCATCCCGGCACCTTGGAGCTGCTGGGCAAGAAAGGGAAAGCGGTTAGGACGAGGTCCCTTGCAGAGGGGTGTGGAGGCTCTCCAGCCGCCCGGCCATCCCTAGAAGTAGCCACTCGGAGGGGTTGAGGAAGGGCAGCAGGAGCAGGCGGCGGACTCCCTCCTTAGCTTGGGGGATGTCTGTCTCCCTCCTGCCTTTCTGCCCCGGACTCACCTCCTCGTGCCTCTGAGGTGAGCCTTATGATTTGGCTTTGCCCTCCAGGGGTCCTAGCAATCGATGATGACTTTGACCAAGAAAATGTCTCTGAGACCTGAGAGCAGCCTGAATGCTTGGCTTGGACAGTCTGGGGTTTCTTGGGAGTCCCGGGCATTTGAAATTCCCTCACTGGGGTTTCTGAGGCTGAGAGGGGAACTGCTGAACTTCCCAAATCTGATTCCAGTCCCCTTCTCCCTTTCGCTGGAAGTCACGAGCCCTGGGGCCCCATAAAGATTGTCTACGGCACTCTACGCCCTGCAATGATTCACTTGTATGCATTAGCCCCTTGAAGTAGACTTGAGCCTGCTTCCCCTCTGGCCTCGATCCTCGATCCTCGATCCTCGATCCTCGGGAGGGCAGCGGCATCAGAGAGCCTCCCGAACTACTGACGTGATCCTGGAGGCACCTGCTCTTCCTCCTGTTCCCAGGCCGTAATAGGGAGAGCCACCAAGGATGTTCCCCCCTAATGTCTCTACCTATCCCTTTAAGGATATTTCTCCCCATATATCAAGGCTCTGGCCCCAAGAGGCAGCTTCAATCCAGTAGGCTGGGACCAGCGATGGACTTCCAGCGAGCGCCTACTCCTTTCAGGGTCAAGGACTCAGGGCCAGGGCCCAGAGAGAGCCCTGCTCTTCCCCATTGCTAACAGCGGGAGATTTAGGGCAAGTCAGCACTAAGGACTGAAAAGGAATGAGAAGATGCCCTTTCAACCCTTCTCACCTCAGTAAACCCTCCCCGTAGTTTAAATGACATATTTTAAAACTGGGTCTGGGTCTACAAGTCTCCGCTCACACTCTGAGCTGCTCACACTGTGATATGTGTGTGGTTCTGATTTGGGCAACGTTTGTAGATAACCATGGCTCATCTAAAGAGCCCCAGCTGGGGAAACTCGGTTTTAAGCCATGAGGCTTTTCCTATAGGTGGTAAACACTTTCCTTAGACTTTGATGGGAGAGCGTGCGGGGAGTGGGACTGTTAGGAGAGGAGATGAATGGGAAATGGTCCCCAAGTCCTGAGTGGTTGTTTTCTTCCCACTGACCAAAGCTGGACAGGGATCCCTCAGGAGGGTGTCTTCCGGATTTCTTGCCTCAGGCCCAAGACTCCAACCATTTTATAATGGAATCTTTATTTTGTGAAAGTAAGTATGTTCATAGCTGGGAAATTGGGTAAAGTACTAATAGGTGGATTTTAGGGATGAATTTTAGGGTTTCTCTCTCTCTCTCTCTCTCTCTCTCTCTCTCTCTCTCCCATATTTAGGGCTGTCTGCACACATCCATGCATGTTCATGTTAGCAGATACTGTAGACGCTATGAGTATGTTTACCCCAGTAGGTATGTTCTCTGTATGTGTATCTACATATGTGATCTTGTCTGTGTCTGTGTGTTTGTCTACATGTGCTTTATTTCACCTATGTATTTGTGTAAAATGATTGTGGGGAGGAGGGATTTTTTTTTTATATCTTTAGGTGTGTTATCTGATTTTTTAAAAGATATATGAACTTCTCAAGAAGCATTTTTACAATGCAATTTGTCAGCAAGTTAAAATGAATATAATGAAAATAAACTGATTATTTCACTGTCAAGGGAATACCAAGTTGTAAATATCTGATTGGAGTCATATCAGATAGGACGCTTTCTAGAGTAGTCAAATTTCGCTAATTTTAGAAAATCTAATGGGCCCAGCTCCCCCCTCCTGAAACAGTGAGTCCCAGTTGGCTGGGTAGGTGGTGGTTAAGGACATGGGCACTTCTTTTTTTGTGATCAGCTTCCAGTTCTACCACTACTGGCTATATAACCTTGGGCAAGTAATGCAGCCCTTTTTGTGCCTCAGTTTCCTCACCTGCGAAATTAGGATAATATTGGTACCTACTTCATTGGGTTGTTGTAAATGAAATAGTTCAATTAAGGTGTGTGAACATTGCCTGGCACATAGTAAACACTCAGTTCACGTGAGCTGCCATCGTTATGATTGCTATTATTATCATTAGATTCAGGGACAATTCCAGCCGCCCCTCCTGCAGATCCCGTACCTGGTGTTGGGGGCTCCAGAGAGGAACAGTAGGGAAGAGCCGGCTGTCCTGGACGCCTCCCTGCTGAGGCCCCCATTTTCCTCTCTGCCCCGGCCCGCCCAGCCCCAGCCCTGCTTCCTGCGGACGTCAGGCAGTGATGCTCTTCCCCTCAGGCCTAGATAAAGGTAGGGTGGGCAAGACCCAGCCACGGAGCTCGCGGAAGTCAGCACCGGGCACCCAGGCTGGCCAGGGCACAAGGTATGGTGCCCAGCGTCCAACATGGCCTTGTCCATGGCTACAAGATCCATGTAACTGAGTTTTGAAAAGATGAGGCAGTTTACTAATGGCGACAGCTTCACCTGCCCTCTTGCTCTCTCCTCTAAGGTAGCGGGGACTCATCTCTGGAGAAGGAGTTCCTTGGGGCCCCAGTGGGGCCCTCGGTGAGCACCCCCAACAGCCAGCACTCTTCTCCCAGCCGCTCACTCAGTGGTAAGTGCGCCCCCCTTCCCTCGCCTGGCACAAGGCGTCCCTGTTTGTGTTTGGCCCTCGATTCATCTTCCATTGGCAGCCATTTCCCCATCGCTGCCTCCCTCTGGTTTCCTGCTCAGAGTCTCTAAAATCACTAAGGAGCTCCGTGTCTGGGATTTCCCTCACTTCTGAAAGAAGAATGAACTCTCACTGCCAGGCAAGGGTGGAATTCACAGAGGCATGGGTGGGATTAAGGTAAAGGCCCCAAAGAGAAAGTCTGGAGTGAGAATAGCAGGTCGATAGCAATGGGCACGAGCTGGAGGTAGACAGGAAACAGACATGAGAAGGGTCTCCTCATCACCCCCCTGAGTCTCCTGCCCAGAGGGTCCCCAGGACTGCCTCTCCTCAGCTGGCCCCAGATCTGTGACATTCTCCAAATGGTTGGAATAGCCAGGAATGTAGGTCAGAGCTAGAGCCAAAGCTTTCTCCTCAATGGCTCCCCCTCCTCCATCCCCCTCCGGTTGTGATGGAGGGGAGTAGAGGGGCTCAGTCTTACGGGGTGGGAGGAGAATGTAGGCCGTGTCGGTCTCCCAGTTTTACTCTCTCTTTAGCCCTGTCTCTTCGGTCTTCTAGGACTGTTTTCCTGACACTGTTACTTGCTGGCTTCCTGCCCAGGGCCAAGTCAGACATCTTTCTTAATGACAAGAGAGTGGAGAAATAGGCTCCCCTTAGCTTCCTCCTCTCCCCAGTGCTTTTCCCTCGAAGCCTATTTGCCTGATCGGTGGGGTAGGAGGACAAGGTTGCTTCGGGTCCCAGCAGGACCCTGGTGTCACCACTCTGGACACCTAGGGTAAGGCCTACTCTGAAGCCTGAAGGCCTCAGGGCTCGGAGACTCCTTTGGACTCGGGAGTGCCATTCTGGCCTGGGGAAGGCTCTCCCCTTTGCCTGTCTCTGTCCTAAACACCATCCCACCCTCCAGCCAACTCCATCAAGGTGGAGATGTACAGCGATGAGGAGTCGAGTAGACTGCTGGGGCCAGATGAGCGGCTCCTGGAAAAGGACGATAGTGTGATCGTGGAAGACTCGTTGTCGGAGCCCCTGGGCTACTGTGATGGAAGTGGGCCAGAGCCTCACTCCCCTGGTGGCATCCGGCTGCCCAATGGCAAGCTCAAATGTGATGTCTGTGGCATGGTCTGCATTGGACCCAACGTGCTCATGGTGCATAAACGCAGCCACACAGGTGAGTAAGCCAGGGGACCAGGGAGGAACTCCCAGGTGGGCCCGAGAGGCAGAGGCAGTGCTGGGAGGCCATGCCTGGGCGGGGTAGCCTCGGAAAGGGAAGGGTCTCTCCTGGCACATATTCTAGCTGAGGGAGGAAAAAAAAGGGTTGAAATTCAGCCTCCCTGAATGCCTATACTTTCCTGGCACTTTCTTCAGCTCTTATTATAAAGAAAAGCCAATGCTCTTCTGAGGAAGTGAGGGAGGGGAAAGTCTTGTAGCCTCAAGAAGGATCCTAGCTCTGGCCAGGTGGCTCAGTTGGTTGGAGCATCATCCCATACACTGAAAGGTTGCGGGTTCGATTCTGGTCAGGGCACATACCTAGGTTGTAGGTTCAATCCCCAGTCAGGCCACATATGGGAGGCAAGCAGTAGATGTTTCTCTTTTTCTCTTCTTTCCTCTCTCTAAAATTAATTTTTTTTAATATATTTTATTGGTTTTTTACAGAGAGGAAGGGAGAAGGAGAGGGATAGAAAGTTAGAAACATCGATGAGAGAGAAACATCGATTCAGCTGCTTCCTGCACACTCCCTACTGGGGATGTGCCATTCCAGTCAAGGGCACATGCCCGGGTTGCGGGCTCGATCCCCAGTGTGGGGCATGCAGGAGGCAGCCAATCAATGATTCTCTCTCATCATTGATATTTCTATCTCTCTCTCCCTCTCCCTTCCTCTCTGAAATCAATAAAAATATATTTTAAAAAACCAACCAAACAAAAAAACATATCCTGAGAGCATCAGCCTGTGCACCAAAGGGTGGTGGGTTCGATTCCCGGTCAAGGGCATGTACCTGGGTTGCAGGTTCGATCCCTGGCCTGGTTGGGACACATGCGGGAGGCAACCAATTGATGTGTCTCTCTCACTTTGATGTCTCTCTCTCCCCCCCCCCCCCCCCCCCCCACTCCCTTCCACTTTCTCTAAAAATCAATGGGAAAAAATATTCTCAGATGAGGATAACAACCAAAAAACATATCCTCGGGTGAGGATTTAAAAAAAGAGAGAGAGAAGGATCCTATACCTAATGGGGATAGGACTCCTGGGTATTATTTGGGCCCTCCCATCGATGAATAAAGAAAAAATACGGAATATAGAAGCCTCTTCTCGGCTTCCTTGGGCTTTGGGCTCCTGCGGCAGTGAGAGCCGATGGGGCTTGGTTTGTGATAAGGGTCTTTCGGCCCCATGTTCCAGGCCTAGTGCGCTTCTCCCTGCCACAGCCCCTCATCCACACCTTCCCGGGATCAGACTGCCCCCAGGGATCTGTATTAAGCAGGATCAGTATGAGTGGCACAGCCCTGCCTCTCAGAAATGTGTTCTGAGCCCGTCCCCTGAGCCAGTGTGGGGCAGGGGTGGGGATGGGGGGCTGGGTTCAGCCTCCAGAGTCCCTCACAGCCAGTCCCCGGCACCTCTCTTTCCCTCGCAGGCGAAAGGCCCTTCCACTGCAACCAGTGCGGAGCCTCCTTCACCCAGAAGGGGAACCTGCTACGCCACATCAAGCTGCACTCCGGGGAGAAGCCCTTCAAATGCCCCTTCTGCAACTACGCCTGCCGCCGGCGGGACGCGCTCACGGGCCACCTCCGAACACACTCGGGTCAGTGACCTTTCCGGTGGGAGGGGGGGAGGTGGGACCCCAAGACACCCCGCGACTTCTCTTGTCTCTGTGGGATGCAGTGTCTGTTCTCCAGGAGGGCAGAGCACCCCCGGAGTGCACAGGGCCCTGCCTCTGTAACCCTCCTCTGGGCAGCAGCCCCGTGGAACATGTGGGGGACTCTGATGAGGCATTTTGCATCTGCCACACCCTGTAACGTGGAGAGCAAAAGGAGCACAGGCAATGTTCTTGGGTCTTAACAGTCACCCTTCCCTGCCTGGCTATTTTTATTTTTATTTTTTTAATATTTTTATTGATTTCAGAGAGGAAGGGAGAGGGAGAGAGAGATGGAGAATCACTGATCGGCTGCCTCCCGCATGCGCCACACTGGGGATCGAGCCCGCAACCCAGGCATGTGCCCTTGACCGAAATCGAACCCAGGACCCTTCTGTCCGCAGACGAAGCTCTATCCACTGAGCCAAACCAGCCAGGCCAGGCCTGATATTTTTAAAGGTCACGCTGATGCAGAACCATCTGTGCCCCATCACCCCCCACTTCTGAGCACCAGGGTGACCCCTCCTTCCCTCATATCTGCCCCAGGCCCCACACTTGTCACCATCTTTGCCCTCTTCTGTCCTCTCCTTGACTTCCTCCTGGTTCCTGAAAACATCCACGGGCCTCCCAAACTGGAGGAAAGGAAGCCTACGAAGATGATCCCATTTCTGTTCCCCATCCCAAGAGGTCATCACCTGACCAGGAGCAAGAGCGAGTGCCTGGAGCTCAGGGTTTGGAACGGTGCCCGGGAACTGGACTGACTCGATTTTCTAGCCCAGCCCAGACTGAATCAACATCTGCCTAATCAGCTGGACAGATAGCACTTTTGAAGCCTTTTACTAAGTTTTGAGCTTTGGGCTTGGACTTGGGAAAAGGTCAGGAGCTGAGCTGGCAGGAAGGAGGGAGCTCAAGACTGGGAAAAGGAGGAAGGAGGGCAGAGGGTAAAGGATTAGTAGGGTCTGTCCTTGGAAACGTTCTTTGCTATTTTTCTCTTTTCCTAAACTCTCATGGGCCAGGATTGAAAGGGACAAAGTAATCACCTCCCCACCCTCTACTTTTTCCAGCCACCTACCTTGCTCTCACCTGGGAGCTGGGACCTCTTTATCTCTGTGTATGTGGAGGAACAACAGAGAGAAAGAGCATCATTGATCCATGCTTTATCATCTACAAAGCATTTCACTTGTCTCCTCATGTGATCCTCATAACAATTCCGAGGTAGATGTTACTATCTCCATTTTGCTGACAAGGAAACTGAAAAAGAAGAAAAGATTTGCCAGTCACGGAGCTATTCTTTCTGCATCCTCACTGGAACCCCATCAAGGTCCTGGGGAAAGGGGGCCCCCCTGCTGGTTTGGAACAAGGGTGGCTTGGCCCCTAGAAATCTTACCAACAGCAAGGCAGGGGTCGGGGTGGGTTTGGGAGGTTCTGTAGGAGATTATTGGGGCCAGAAGAAGACACGGATATACTATTGGGTCCCGTCTTTATGAGATGCTTTCTCTTACAACCCACACTGTAAGAAAAAGAGGGCTCCTCTCAGATGTTAAAACATTTCCCTAACATCAGAGTCTTAGGTCAATGGGGTCTGTGACTTTAATCTCATCCCACAAACACCGAGCAAGAGCAAGATGGTAGTAGATTGGTTGAGTCAAGGTCCAGGTCAGGCATGGGACGGGAGAGGGGTCCCTGGAGATACTTCTCCTGGCCCCTGCTCAGTAGTAGCAAGACACATAAATTAAAATATACAATACCTTGTTTCTCTCACTTTTTTCTCTCCTCTCACAAACATCATCTCTCAAAAGTTGTCTTTCAGGGAAGTATCGATCTCAGTCTTCCCAATCTTTTCTCTTCACTAGAAACAAAATCCTTATTTCCTGTTCTTTAAAAAAAAAACACCTCCAAAGTTGTTCTCTTCTTTTTATATCTTCATTGTTTTCTTCTCTGTTCTTTTATTCTTTTTCTCTCCTCAAAGTTCTCCATCAGATGATGGTTTTTCTGGGGCTCTCTTTGTATCTCAATGTAGAACGACAGAAAGAATAATAAGCAGCAAAACTGGGCTAGTAGTAGAGGTAAAAAAGGACAAGCAAAGGTCAGTGAAAACTGCCCCTCCCCACATCAGCAGATCTAAGGACTCTCATTTCTGTCACCCCAGCCCACCAGTTTCCCCCAAACCAAATCAGATAGTTCGTAAGCAAAAAATCCCCTTGTCTGGTAAACAGCGCTGACACCGCCTGCCACATGGAAAGGTTAAACCACAGTGTGGGCCTCAGACTCTGAGATCCTGGGGTGGGGCCAGCCTGCCTGTCAGGGATGATCCCCTACGAAGTCCCTGGGCTCTTCTTTCCTCTGAGCAGCAATTTGACCATCTTTTTTGTTGTTGTTGTTAATCCTCACCCAAGGATATTTTTTTCATTTATTTTTAGAGAGAGTGGAAGGGAGGGGGCGAGACAGAGAGAGAGAGGGAAACATCAATGTGAGAGAGACACATCGATTGGTTGCCTCCCACCCCCACCCGACCAGGGTTGGGGATCAAGCTACAACCGGAATCAAACCTGGGACCCTTCGGTCCGAGGGCCGATGCTCTATCCACTGAGCCAAACCGGTTAGGGCCATTTGGCCATCTTGAGTCTCCTCAGCAATCCAGTGCTACATGACCTGGGTGTCCCCTTTCGCTTCCCATCGCTGCCACTGTGCCTCTTCTCTGAGGTTTAGTCATCTGCCCATGCTCACAGCTGCAGCTGGGGAAGGGAAGACAAGCAGAAGAATTCGATGGAGCAGGATCCCTTCCTCCTCAGTGTCCCTGTGCTCCTAGATGGCTGTGTAGAGCCAGGGCACTGGGAAAAGTAACCTTGATGCTGCTTGCTTCCTCTCTCCTGCACAGTCTCCTCTCCCACGGTGGGTAAGCCCTACAAGTGTAACTACTGTGGCCGGAGCTACAAGCAGCAGAGTACCCTGGAGGAGCACAAGGAGCGGTGCCACAACTACCTGCAGAGTCTCAGCACTGAAGCCCAAGCTCTGGCCGGCCAACCAGGTGGGCTGTGGGCAGGACTCCGGGGGAGTTGAGGGCAGAGCCGGAGGGAGGGAGTACAGGACAAGGGTGATTCCAGCACTTGCCTGCACAAGGGGAGAGGTCCATGGGGAAGGGACAATTACCTCAGTAATTAGGGTGCCGAGCACCCCAGTTAGTGCAGAGCCCCTGGTAAATGCTGCAGGAGGACCCAGAGGTAGGGGAGGATTTGATCTATGTTCTTAGTCTAATGGGAGAGAGAGAAACTGCAAGGAAGTATAAAATTGAGGGTCAGATGTATATAATTGTCCCCAAATTATCTAACCTGTTGCTGGGATGAGCTTTAAATAGGGTGAAGTAAGCTGACCTAATTTCCCAAGCATCAGGTATGACCTTCCGTGGCTCCTGACCTGCTGGTTTTCTCCAGGAGAAGGCTGCTGGGCCAGTGCTACCCCTCCTCAGCTGCTACTCCCTGTCCCCGCCTCCCCCCACTAGGTGATGAGATACGTGACCTGGAGATGGTGCCAGACTCTATGCTGCACTCATCCTCTGAGAGGCCCACATTCATTGATCGTCTGGCCAACAGCCTCACCAAACGCAAGCGTTCCACCCCCCAGAAGTTTGTAGGTAAGAGTCCAGTGGTAGAGGAGACATCAGCTTTAAGCCATAGCTCATCTGTATCTGAGCTCTGATGGCCATTAGACCAGTTGGGTCTGGAGATTTGATTGAAGGAAAGAAAGCAGTCTGGTCCTCAGAATCGATCCCCAAAATAGGAGCAGAATGAAGAGGGAGAAAGTACCTCGAGAGGGTGGAAGGGGTTAGTGTTGAGGGCTCATGTGGTGGTTTTAGAAGAGGGTGTCAGGGTTCTCCCAGTTTTTGAGAATAGCAAGGACTTAAGTCTGTGGGGACTGAGACCTGGGCCCTTTGAGTCAGAGGGAAGAGGCGAGTATGAGGACCTCACCTGGCCCAGCTCTCCAAGGACCTGGAGCTTTATAGAGAACTAGAGGCCCGGTGCACAAATAGGTGCATGGGTGGGGTCCCTAGGCCTGGCTGGCAATCAGGGCAAATCAGGGCCGGGTCGATGGGGGCCTGCTGGCCGAGGGGAGAAACGGGGCTCGGGAGGTTGGCTGCTGGTTCTGAGGAGGGAGCTGGCCCTCGGCCCCCCTGGGAAAGGGGCCATGTCCACTGCCACCCACCCCCGGTTCCCTGTTCCAGCTCAAGGCCCAAAGGCCCCAGCAGGGTCGGGAGAGGAGGCAATGGTTCGCCAGGCCGGGCACAGAAGAAACAGAGGCCAGACACCCTCACTGCCGCTGCCGGCCGTGGGAGGTTGGCTGTAGGAGTGCACTAACCACCAGGGGGCAGCTTCTGCATTGAGCATCTGCCCCCTGGTGGTCAGTGCGTGTCATAGCGACTGGTTGACCAGTCGTTCCGGTTGTTCTGGTCATTTGGTCATTACGGTTGCTTAGGCTTTTATATATATAGATATAGATAATGCCGCCGCCAGCCGTGGGAGGTTGGCTGTAGGAGTGCACTAACCACCAGGGGGCAGCTTCTGCATTGAGCATCTGCCCCCTGGTGGTCAGTGCGTGTCATAGCGACTGGTTGACCAGTCGTTCTGGTTGTTCTGGTCATTTGGTCATTATGGTTGCTTAGGCTTTTATATATATAGATATAGATAATGCAAGAATGATAAAGATCAGTGGCCCGGGACTGAGACCTCTAAGATTATAGCCTAGAGTTGGAGAGCAGCCCCACAAGGGACCTAACCTCCAGGGAAGTAAATGAAGAGTGGTAAATCATGTTATAGCCATCCTTGTGGGTAAGAAAACAAAGGCATCATCCTGGGGAGCTCAGGAATCTTCCATGCCCAGCTCTGCTGAGAGCCTCTTCTCCACAGGTGAGAAGCAGATGCGCTTCAGCCTCTCGGACCTCCCCTACGATGTGAATTCGGGTGGCTATGAGAAGGATGTGGAGCTCGTGGCACATCACGGCCTGGAGCCTGGTTTTGGAGGTTCTCTGGCCTTTGTGGGGGCAGAGCACCTGCGTCCCCTCCGCCTTCCACCTACCAATTGCATCTCAGAACTCACGCCCGTCATCAGCTCTGTCTACACCCAGATGCAACCCCTCCCCGGTCGACTGGAGCTTCCAGGATCCCGAGAAGCAGGTGAGGGACCCGAGGACCTGGCTGATGGTGGTCCCCTCCTCTACCGGGCCCGAGGCCCCCTTACTGACCCTGGAGCATCCCCCAGCAATGGGTGCCAAGACTCCACAGATACAGAGAGCAACCACGAAGATCGGGTTGCGGGGGTGGTATCCCTCCCTCAGGGTCCCCCACCCCAGCCACCTCCCACCATTGTGGTGGGCCGGCCCAGTCCTGCCTACGCCAAAGAGGACCCCAAGCCACAGGAGGGGTTACTGCGGGGCACCCCAGGCCCCTCGAAGGAAGTGCTCCGGGTGGTGGGCGAGAGCGGTGAGCCCGTGAAGGCCTTCAAGTGTGAGCACTGCCGCATCCTCTTCCTGGACCATGTCATGTTCACCATCCACATGGGCTGCCATGGCTTCAGAGACCCTTTCGAGTGCAACATCTGTGGTTACCACAGCCAGGACCGGTATGAATTCTCTTCCCACATTGTCCGGGGGGAGCACAAGGTGGGCTAGCAGCCCACTGCCCTCCCGTCAGTTCGCCACTCCCTTGCCCCACCTACAGGAGTCTAGCCCTGTCCCCACCACATCCCAAGAAGTTGTGCTGTGTAGCCCCACCACTGGCTACCTAACTTCACACTTGACCCTGAATCTTTCTCACCTATTCTTCCCCCTGACTGATTCAAGCATCGTGATGAAACAGGTTTTTGCTTATGTTTCTCCTTTTTCTCTTAACCTCTCATCCCAGCATACTCAAGAGTTATTTATTAATATAATTAGCTGATTTTTCTTTTGCATTTTTTAACTTCTGTCAGTCACTTGCCACTCCTCCATCCTCTTGCTCACAGTCCCCTTCCCCTTTAGGCCTAATTTTTCTCTCTTTGTTCTGGCTTTCTCCAACAGCCCCTGGGATGGGAAGCTCCTCTTAGTACTAAGAGACCTTGAACTTCTTGCGTTAAGTCCTCACTTTTGCATTGTGTGATGCTTCCGTTTTGATGTTGATAGCTCCCTCTGGCCCTACCTTAGCTCTGTGGCATTATATCTCCTCGCTGGGACCCTTCAGCCCGCGACTCCATACCTCTTGTGCCCTCTCACATTAGGCAGCTTGCACTTTTCTTAAACAAAGGAAGAATTCCCTCATTTGGAAGTAGGAGGGGCTGAAGACATCCTCCCCAGTCACTGTGGGACTGAGGGTCTTGACCGCCCCAGTAACATGAGTTCCCCAAAGCCCACATTCAGGATCTCCCTCTAGGATGTGATATATCTCTTCCCTCTTCTCGAACAACCCCCAACACTGCTCTACTTGCTTCAACCTGCCAGTCTACTCGGTGGTAGCTTTTATCTCCTTGGAGTGCCCCAATTTTCTATTCTCAGGGGCCAAAAGGCTAGGTCTGCATCCTCTGTCTCTGACACGTTGGGAGCCACAGGTGCCTAATTGGGAACCAGGGCATGGGAAGGGTGTCGTTCAAAATTCTCCTTACTCTCCCACCTCTCAAACTTCTTCACCCTAGTGACCTCCCTAGGCTCTCAGGGACTCCTGCAGTCCCCGTCCTATGAGAAACCAGTGGGTTGCTGCCTGAAGACAAGGGGGTATCTCAGCCCCTCAGTCACACTGCCTTCTTCTCTCCCCACCCAGCAGGATTCACCCTCGGGAGGAAAGAGTGCCTCTTTTCTCTCTTCTGATTTTCAGTGTAACCAAAAATTATCCCAGGACGAGCAAGGGCATGTGCCCCTTACCCTGTCCCACTCTTGTCCCAGCAGGAATGGGATGGGCACAACTAAAAGGGGGCCACCTGCGACTGCCCCCCTTCTACACTCAGCTCCCAGATGTAGGGCAGGAGGGGCACACTCCTCCTGGCTACTGCAGGGACCCTGGCTATTTGGGTAACTGGTTAGCGAGAAGGGGCAGGAGGAGACACAGCTCCACTGCAAGTGGAGGTCTCTCTACCAGAGTTCCCTGCCCAAGGCCACAGCCATCCCATTCTCTGCTTCCTCGAGATTCAAACCAAAGGCTGTTTTTCTATATTTAAAGAAGAAAAAAAAAAAGTAGAAAACCAAACACAACACCTCACAAGTTGTAACACTTGCTCCTTCTCTCTCCTTTTTCTTCCTTTCCATCTTTCTTTCCACATGTCCTTTCCTTATTGGCTCTTTTGCCTCCTACTTCTCTCACTCCCTATCAGGGATGAATTGGGGGTTGCTAAAGGATTGGCTGAGGAACAGACCCTGGGATTGGGGCTCTGAGAAGAGTCTACCTTACCCCCTTGGGGGAAGGAAGACACTAAAAACATTTCTCCTCTTCTTCCTTCTTTTCCTCCCCCATTATGTGGTCTCTCCCAGAGAACCAGATTGTCAGGGAGGGGCATTGTGGGTTGATCTTTCCTCCTTGACAAGGTAGCAATAAACAGATGCTGCCAAGGGCAGAGGATGGGGGAGTTATCTGGGAGGAGAGTGGTCTCTAGAGAAGGGGAGAGTTTTCTCATCAGCAACATGGGAACTGGCTCCTTTCTTCAGGATGGCAGCAGAGATGAGATTAATATCCGGGTTCTCCTCAATTGTTCCGATTGTTGAACCCCTTCCCGTTAGACCTACCACCTCTTCTGTGTCTGCTGTATCTTTGGTAACACCTCATAAGGACTAGTCCCTTCTGGGGTATCAGAGCCTTAGGGTGCCACCATCTCCTCCCCCCGTCAGATTTGGCACCTATAACCTCCTGGAACATGAAGGCCTGTGCTCTGAGGCTGTGCTCTGAGCCCATGAGAGCAGAGACTGGAAGGCAAGACCAGGTGCTAAGGAGGGAGAGAAGGGCACTCTGTCTCTCTCCAGACCATCACTGCACTTTAACCAGGGTCTTAGGTACAAAATCCTACTTTCTGGAGCCTTTCAGCTCTGGAAACTCAAACACTCTCACGCTCTCTCTCCCAACTCCTTTTGCATAAAAAAAAAAAAATGAAAAAAGAAAAAAATACATGGAAACCCACATGGAGAAAAGAGGTGTTTTCCTTTTATATTGATATTCAAATTAACACCACACACACAAAAGAGTTTCTAAATAGACACTTTTCCAGATCTTTGTTTTCTCGTGTCAGTGTCCAAGCTGCAGGTGGGATTTTGTAATACTTCTGGCAGCTTCTGTCCTTGTGTAAATAATATATATTATATAT